AGAGGGTTCCCTTTTCTCCACACCCTCTCCAGCATTTATTGCTTGTGGACTTTTGGATAGCAGCCATCCTGACTGGCGTGTAATGGTACCTCATTGTGGTTTTGATTTGCATTTCTCTGATAATGAGTGATGTTGAGCATCTTTTCATGTGTTTGTTATCCATCTGTATGTCTTCTCTGGAGAAATGTCTGTTTAGTTCTTTGGCCCATTTTTTGATTGGGTCATTTATTTTTCTGGAATTGAGCTGGAGGAGTTGCTTGTATGTTTTTGAGATTAATCCTTTGTCTGTTGCTTCATTTGCTATTATTTTCTCCCAATCTGAAGCCTGTCTTTTCACCTTGCTTATAGTTTCCTTTGTTGTGCAAAAGCTTTTAAGTTTCATTAGGTCCCATTTGTTTATTTTTGCCCAGGCAGGCATTTTAAATGAGGGCCTGGGGTCATCCTAAGGACACTGTCTTGTGTATCCAGAGGCCATGCTGTGGTCTAATCATCTCTTTTGCAGGTTTGGACAGAGTCCTTAGGTGCCAAAATTCTGTGGTTCTCAGGGGCACAAGCGAACTTTGGGATGAGGGAGATGTTCTTTATCCTAACTTGGTGATGGTTTCATGGGTGTATGTGTATGTCAAAGCTCATCAAACCAAACCTTTAAATGTGTGCAGTTCATTGCAAGTAAGTTATACCTCAACAAAGCTGATTCTAAAAAAAGAAAAAAGGTGCAAAGGATAGTTTTGCTTTGTTGCTAAAACCACAATAGACTGATGCCTGTTAACACCCAAACTAGAATTCATTCTAAATATACTCTTTAAAACAGGGTGGTAAACAGGAGAACAGCAACAAATTAGGATCAGCAAATGAAGCTCAGCGATAAGTGTTGTAAAAATTGTGTTCGTTGGCAATGTAGAAATGTTCTCAATTGTTTTATCCTTTGCTATATGTGTTGGGGCAGAAGGGTTCAGAGGAATAGATTTTATTTCTTGGAGCAATTTTAAGTTCACAGGAAAATTGGACAGAGTGTACAAAGAGCTCCCATCAACTACCTCTCCCCACTACCACCCCAGTGGGCCTTTTACTCCCACTGCACACAGTGGGCTCCCCTGGGTAAAAACTGACAGACCAGCACGGATACATTATCATTAACTGGAGCCCATGGTTTGCATGAGGGCTCACTCTTTTTGTTAAGAAAGCTAAAGGAAATTTTAAGTTTCCCTTCCACGCCATATATGATCATTTACTATGAGGAAAAGAAAGTTGTTTGGAATCACAGTTTTCCATATCCTAGATGTGTTTACAGTACTGATACTTAAGCATTACTTTTAAAAAGGGAGGAAAATAGACACTTATCACATTCTTATTCTTTCCGATAAAAAACAATAGTTCAAATAGTCCTAACAGCTTAATCATAAAAACAGGTTGTGGCTTCTATCCCTAAAAGATAAAGGATATCAACTTTTATCCATTAACTCACTTAGTGCTGAGCATTTCAATTTTCCTGCCAATAATAACAGAATAATAAAACATATGTCATGAGTATAGTACTTGCATGATTTTAGTAATGTTTTTTTAAAAGTAGATCTACCCTTCAATGACCTAGTACTGAAGAACTGCAATACTTCCTAAAAGCATGATTTAAAGGATTTTCAAGCATTTGCTGAAAATTCTTTTAAGTATCACTAACAACGATAGCATGACAATTAGAGTGTTCCTAAAGCTCTTTAGAATAACAACTTACAATATTTTAAGCCAACCTGAATCATGAGTGCAAATGTGGCTTCAGTGTAGAATTTCCCCTGGCAGTAGCTGTTTCAAATATGTGATCCAAATCCTTCCACATACTGAAAAGCAAGAATGTTATTATGTGTGCTTGTGCAAGGTGAAGGTGTTCCAAGCACATGAAAAGTCCAATCACGACCCACTGAAAGCTTGAGATCCTGATCTTAAATACCACTCTTAGTGTTGTACATTCTATGGGTTTACACGATGTCGTGTACCCACAATCTGAGCAGCCTACAGAATAGCTCCAGTGCCCTAAAAATCCCACGTGTGTGTGTGTTAGCCTCTCAGTTGTGTCCGACTCTTTGCAACCCCATGGACTGTACCCCACCAGGCTCCTCTGGCCATGGAATTCTCCAGGCAAGAATACTGGAGTGGGTTGCCATTTCTGTCTCCACAGAGTCTTCCTGACCCAGGGACTGACCCGGGTCTCCTGTGTTGGCCGGCAGATTCTTTACCCTCTGAGCCACCAGGGAAGCCTCAGAAATTCCCTGTGTCTCACCTGTTTATCCCTCCCAGCCTCCACACCCAGCCCCCGGCAGCCATTAATATTTTATTATAATTTTGTTATAATCTTCCAATTATGATTTATTATATTGTCATTTCCAGGCTATCATGTAGTGGGATCATACAATAAGTACATTTTCAGATTGGCTTCTTTCACTTAGCACTATGAATAACGTTTCATCCCTGTCTTTTGCTGGCCTGGTACCTCATTTCCTGTGATCACTGAATAATATCCCATTGTACAGAACATATCTGCTTTTGAGATTTTAGATTAGATAATAGTTGCAATTATTTCAAAGAACCATATTTTACAACAAAAGTATAAAAGTGCATTTTTGTCAGCATTTTCAAAAAATAAAATGTATAAAAGACTGACCCTGCTAAATGTTAAGTGTATTATACATGGGGGAGATGTGGTCTGTGTCACCTCCAGTTGACTGTATTAAGCAAGTCTCCTCAAGGTCCCCAGTCCTGTAACACAAACACGATGAGACTCATTTTTACTGATGATGAACTGAGGCTCAGGGTTACCTGCCAATTTAGGAGCAGCATCTACATTCAAATTCAGGTCTGGTGCATAGAGAGCAGACTTGTGGTTGCCAAGGATGAGGGTTTGGGAGGGGTGAATCGGGAGTTTGGGACTAGCGGATGCAAAACTATTATACGCAGAGTGGATAAGCAACCGGGTCCTACTGTAGGGCACACGGAACTATATTCAACAGGCTGTGGTAAACCATGATGAGATGACTAAATGTGTGTATTTACTAAATCAGAGTCACTCTGCTGTGGAGCAGACACGTACACACACTGTAAATCAGCCACACTTCAATAAAATAAGTTTGAACACACACACAAATTCAGGTCTACTTATAATAGCACCTTTTTTTTTTAACTTTTTATTTTGTATCGGGGTATAGCTAATTAAAAATGTTGTGACAGTTTCAGATGAAGAGTAAAAGGACTCAGCCATACATATGCATGTATCAAGATCCACTCTCCCCCAAAGCCCCTCCCATCCTGGCTGCCACAGAACATTGAGGAGAGTCCCCTGTTGTACAGGGGGGTCCTTGTTGGTTACCCACTTTAAATACAGCAGTGTGTGATGCTAACATCTTTGCTCTTTGTGCAAAACTAAAACCTCTACAAATACTGAAGTGATGCACAAATGTAGGTGATGAAAGGGAGGGAGACTGAGGAAGGAAAAGCATTGGTCCAGTGGCCAGGGTGGTGAAGTCTTTGCCAAGAGCACTATGAAAAGCAGAGACTGTAGTCGCCAAGTCCTGATCTTGGGCCACAGAAATCAGAGGAAAACAAGACACCAAAGAGAAGGGAGACTGTAAAGGAAAAGAAGGAGGAGGAGGAGAAGGAAGGAAGGAAAGAAGAAAAAAAGAAAGAAAGAGAGATGCATGCAATTAAATTGTCTTAGCTGCTGCAAAGCTGTTTGTCCTAAGGAGAAAGTAAAACATAAACTGTCTTTCTGGCCTTAATTTACTGCTGATCACTGGTATCATGAAGATCCAGCAAGACTACGCCAAGTAGATTGTCTCCGGTGGAAGAAAATGAAGGAGAAGCTATGAGCTTCCATTAGAGCCACAGACTATGTATTATACTGTTCCCTTGCATGTGTTTCCCACTTCCTAACAATTAGATGCATGAGTGTTCATTGAAAACAAAAACAAACCCAGTCTCTTCACTTCTCAGAGCATTCGGTGGTTTTTCAAGAATAAAATGATGAGACCATAAAAATTTTAATAAGAATAATGCATTAATTAAGGTGTTTTAATTAATTTGTTGGTGTTCACTCATTAAGTCATGTCCTACTCTTCACAACCCCATGGACTGCAGCACGCCAGACTCCCCTGTCCTTCACTGTCTCCTGGAGTTTGCTCAGATTCCTGTCCATTGAGTCAGTGATGCTAACAAACTATTTCATGCTCTGATGCCCTCTTCTCCTCCCGCCTTCAACCTTTCCCAGCATTAGGGTCTTTTCCAATGAGTTGGCTCTTCGAATCAGGTGGCCAAACTATTGGAGATTCAGCTTCAGCATCAGTCCTTCCAATGAATATTCAGTGTTGATTTCCTTTGGTTTGATCGCCTTGCAGTTCAAGTGACTCTCGAGAGTCTTCTCCAACACCACAGTTTGAAAGCATTAGTTCCTCCTGCTCAGCCTTCTTAATGGTCCAACTCTCACATCTGTACACGACCACTGGAAAAACCACAGTTTTGACTATACAGACCTTTGTTGGCAAAGTGATATCCTTGCTTTTTAATATGCTGTTTAGGTTTGTCATAGCCTTCCTTCCAAGGAGCAAGCGTCTTCTAATTTCATGGCTGCAGTCACCATCTGCAGTGATTTTGGAGCCCAAGAAAATAAAATCTGTCACCGCTTCCACTTTTCCCCTTCTATGTGCCATGACTGGAAGACCCCTGGAATGGCAAACCGCTCCAGTATTTTTGCCTCAAGAACCCCATGAACAGTATGAAAAGGTTTTAATTAATTACATCCTTTGAAAACCCACTCTTGGTTTTGCTCTGAGATAACTCAAAAAACACCATCTACAGGAGTTGGCGTCTTTCCCCAAAAGGAAAACAACTGCAAAAATAACACCCAAGGCAATCCAGTCATATAATTCACACTCCTTCGGTTTTTAATGATATCTTTTCTATATTCTATTTTCTGTCTTCTCTCCAGGAAGTTGAGAAAGAAGAAAAAACATGACCCAATGCAGCAGGGAAATCATACCAGGGTGAAAGAAATTATTTTTCAAGGACTGACCCAGTCCCGAGAACTGAGCTGGGTCCTATTTCTCTTTTTATGCTTCGTGTACGTGACCACTCTGCTGGGCAACCTCCTCATCACGGCCACTGTGCGCTGCGAGTCCCGCCTGCAGACCCCCATGGACTTCCTGCTCCGCGGCCTCTCCGTCCCGGACACCTGCTTCTCCTCCGTCACCGCCCCCAGGGTCCCGGTGGGCCTTCTTTCGGAGAGAAAGACCATCTCCTTCCGCGGCTGCCCCACGCAGATGCTTCTCGTCCACCTCCTCGGGGGCGCGGACATCTTGGCCCTCTCGGTGATGGCCTTTGACCGCTACGTGGCCATCTCCAGGCCCCTGCACCTCGGGACCGTCCTGAGTCGGGGGCGCTGCGCCGCCCTCCTCGCGGCCTCCTGGGCGGGGGGCTTCGTCCACTCCGTCGTGCAGATCTCCCTCCTCCTCTCCCCTCCCCTTCTGCGGACCCAACGTCCTGGACGGTTTCTACTGCGCCGGCCCCCAGGTCCTCACACTCGCCTGCGCTGGCTCCTGATGATTTCCAGCAGCGGCCTGCTCGCCACCCTGTGGTTCGTCTTCCTGCTTGTGTCCTGCGCGGTCACCCTGACCATGCTGAGGTCGCGCTCCGGGGAGGGCCGGGGGAAAGCCGTCTCCACCTGCACCGCCCACATCACGGTGGTCACCCTCCACTCTGTGCCCTGCATCTACGCCTACGCCCGGCCCTTCTCCGCCCTCCCCACCGACAGAGCTGTCTCCATCACCTTCACTGTCATCATTCCTGTCCTGAACCCGCTGATCTACACCCTGAGGAACCAGGAGATGAAGGCGGCCATGAAGAGACTGAAGAGGAGACTTGGACCTTCTGAAAAGGAATAGATACCATGCAGTCTAGAATGGAAGAGTCAGAACTGAAAAGTATTTTCTCACACACAGTAGAAGACCCTTATCAATAGACCATCATGAGGCCAGATGAGGCCATCTTTACCCTATGGCAGAATCTTCTAATAAAGATGGTCTGAAATAATTGTCTCAATAAGGATTTGTCATGGCGAGATTGTCTGCAACTTAAGTCTCAGATCCAAAAGCCATTAGCTCATGATGTTGCTGTTGTTCAGTTGCTAAGTCGTGTCCGACTCTCTGTCAGACCCCATGATCTTCAGCACACCAGGCTCCCCTGTGCTTCACCATCTCCCAGTGTTTACTCAAATTCATGTCGATTGAGTCAGTGATGTTATAAAACCACCTCTTCCTCTGTCACTACTTCTCCTTTTGCCTTCAATCTTTCCCAGCATCAGGGTCTTTTCCAATGAGTCAGCTCTCCATATCAGGTGGCCAAAGTATTGGAGTTTCAGCTTCAACATCAGTCCTTCCAATGAACACACAGGACTGATCTCCTTTAGGATGGACTGGTTGGATCTCCTTGCAGTCCAAGGGACTCTCAAGATGAGTCTTCTCCAACACCACAGTTCAAAAGCATCAATTCTTTGGTGCTCAGCCTTCTTTATAGTCCAACTCTCACATCCTTACATGACTACTGGGAAAACCAAGGCTTTGACCATATGGACCTTTGTCAGCAAAGCAATATCTCTGGTCTTTAATGTGCTGCTTAGGTTTGTCATAGCTTTTTTTCCAAGAAGCAAGTATTTTTTAATATCATGGCTGCAGTCACTGTCTGCAGTGATTTTGGAGCCCAAATAAATAAAATCTGTCCCTACTTCCACTTTTTCCCCTATTTGCCATGAAGTGATGGGACTTGATGCTGTAATCTTAAAGGAACTCCAAAGTTTATATCACTCAAACACCTCATTTCATAGGTGAGAAAATGAAATCTGAAAGAAAATTACCTCTTAATTCTTGAGTTGTGGCTGTACCTTCTGCAGCCCAAGCAACAGTTAGTAAAATGATGTTCAGGAACCAGAGTCCTGATTGTATAAAATCCAGCCACTCCTCCCTTTGTGGAAAATTTCCATTGCCCATTTTGAGGGTATCAGTTCTGTTTTTCTAAGGAAACCTCTGGGTTTCCCTTACAGAAGCTGAGATGGTTCATATTTTATCAAAGTTTTTGTCATTGATAAATAGCTGAGACAAGGCTAGATCTGAGATACCTGACCTCAGCTCAATGCATGTCTGACTATTCCTGTTGCCTCAGGCAGGATTTGATGGCATCTGAAACAAGCTCATCTATTTATCCTCTATTGTAGTGTTGCGCTTCCCATGTGGCACAATGGTAAAGAATCTGCCTGTCAAGGTAGAAGCTGCAGGAGATGGAGGTTCAACCCCTGAGTCAGGAATATAGCCTGGAGGAGGGAAGCAGGCAGGCCACAACCTTTAAATGAATGACATAGCCCTTGAGGATATGACAAACTGGTTAGAACCGACTGGGTCTAAGATGGCAGAAGATTTGACTTCCAGTGGACCTTGAGCCTCATTATACTCTCCTTGTAATACACTAGCACCTAAATGCCATACCCACAGTCACCATGACGATTCCAAGGCCAACCATCAAAGACCAATGGTGCTGATCATGGTGCTCAGTTGTGTCTGACTGTTTGCAACCAGTCAGACTGTAGCCCACCAGGCTCCCCTGTCCTTGGGATTATCCCAGCAAGAATACTGGAGTTGGCTGCCATTTCCTCCTCTAGGAGAATTGTCATGGTGCCTGTGGGTATGTCATTTAGATGCTAGTGTATTACAATCCATACATGACTACAGGAAAAACCGTAGTTTTGACTAGATGGTGGAGAAGGAAAGGGCAACCCCCTCCAGTATGAGAATCCCAGGGACAGAGGAACCTGGTGGGCTGCCGTCTATGGGCTCACACCGAGTAGGACACAACTGAAGGGACTTAGCATGCATGCACTGACCAGATGGACCTTGGTCCACAAAGTCATGTCTCTACTTTTCAATATGCTGTCTAGATTGGTCATAGTTTTTCTTCCAAGGAGCAAGTGTCTTTTAATTTCATGGCTGCAGTCACCATCTGCAGTGATTTTGGAGCCCCCAAAAATAGTCTGTCACTGTTTCCATTGTTTACCCATTTATTTGCCATGAAATGTTGGTACCAGATGCCATGATCTTAGTTTTCTGAATGTTGAGTGTTAAGCCAACTTTTTCACTCTCCTCTTTCACCTTCATCAAGAGGCTCTTTAGTTCTTCACTTTCTGCCATAAGGGTGGTGTCATTGGCATATCTGAGGTTATTTATATTTCTCCTGGCAATCTTGGTTCCAGCTTGTGCTTCATCCAGCCCAGCATTTCACATGATGTAGTCTGGATACAAGTTAAATAAGCAGGGTGACAGTATATAGCCTTGACGTGCTCCTTTCCTGATTTGGAACCAGTTCCCCCCTGTTTCACCATCACTACAAAAGTTAGATACATCTCTGGAAGGCCATGGCCATCTTCTGGTGGTTATGGTGCAGAAAGGGCATCTGCAAGTCCATTCTCAGTAGTGTCTCACTAGTGATTAATTTCAGGTGGTCTACCGGCCCAATCAATGGCCCCAGGTGTCATCTCAGAGTGGAAGAGATACAGGACAGGACAACTGCAATGGTTGCATATGCGGGAGATAAGTCCAAGCCCAGGTGTCAGAGGTAACCTGAGAGACCCAGGTACAGACAAGTGAAATACTTCAGCAAGGTGATGGGGTGACACAAGACAGGAGCTATTGACAAAATTCACATACACTCATATCTGATCCTGGGCTTTTAAAACTACATTTCAAAAAAAAATCTACATTTGCTTCTTTGGGGTTACTGTTACTTCCTGACTATAATTAAAATCATTCACCAGATTTCTGACTATAGCTTTGAATTTTGTACCTAGCTACCCACAGGAAAAAAAACATCAAGAACAACAACAACAGAAAGTCAAGAACAATTCAAATTTTTTCTTGAACCAAAGAACACAGAATCATAGTCTCCCATAATAAGTATGTTCCTTTATCACTAATAGCTATTTGGTTCCTTGTAAATCAATTTTTATACCAAAAAAAAAAAAAATTCCCTTCCTCATACCTTTTCTCAGTGTTTAATCTTTACTTTCTAGAGGCAAACAGTGAATTGAGGATTCCAAATACACACACACACACACACACACACACACACAAATTCATACACACACAAATACCCACACATTTACTTTTAAGAAACAACTGATTTTAAAGAAAGTGAAAGTATTAGCCTCTCAGTCATTTCCAACTCTTTTCGACCCCATGGGCTGTAGCCCGCCAGGTTCCTGTCCATGGAATTCTCCAGGCAAGAACATTGGAGTGGATAGCTGTTCTGTTCTACCGTGAATCTTTGCTACCCAAGGATTGAGCCCAGGCCTCCCGCATTGCAAGCAGATTCTTTACCCTCTGAGCCACCAGGGAAGCCTCAAAAATTCCCTGTGTCTCACCTATTTATCCCTCCCAGCCTCCACACCCAGCCCCCGGCAGCCATTAATATTTTATTATAATTTTGTTATAATCTTCCAATTATGATTTATTATATTGTCATTTCCAGGCTATCATATAGTGGGATCATACAATAAGTACATTTTCAGATTGGCTTCTTTCACTTAGCACTATGAATAACGTTTCATCCCTGTCTTTTGCTGGCCTGGTACCTCATTTCCTGTGATCACTGAATAATATCCCATTGTACAGAACATATCTGCTTTTGAGATTTTAGATTAGATAATAGTTGCAATTATTTCAAAGAACCATATTTTATAACAAAAGTATAAAAGTGCATTTTTGTCAGCATTTTCAAAAAATAAAATGTATAAAAGACTGACCCTGCTAAATGTTAAGTGTATTATACATGGGGGAGATGTGGTCTGTGTCACCTCCAGTTGACTGTATTAAGCAAGTCTCCTCAAGGTCCCCAGTCCTGTAACACAAACACGATGAGACTCATTTTTACTGATGATGAACTGAGGCTCAGGGTTACCTGCCAATTTAGGAGCAGCATCTACATTCAAATTCAGGTCTGGTGCATAGAGAGCAGACTTGTGGTTGCCAAGGATGAGGGTTTGGGAGGGGTGAATCGGGAGTTTGGGACTAGCGGATGCAAAACTATTATACGCAGAGTGGATAAGCAACCGGGTCCTACTGTAGGGCACACGGAACTATATTCAACAGGCTGTGGTAAACCATGATGAGATGACTAAATGTGTGTATTTACTAAATCTGAGTCACTCTGCTGTGGAGCAGACACGTACACACACTGTAAATCAGCCACACTTCAATAAAATAAGTTTGAACACACACACACAAATTCAGGTCTACTTATACTAGCACCTTTTTTTTTTAACTTTTTATTTTGTATCGGGGTATAGCTAATTAAAAATGTTGTGACAGTTTCAGATGAAGAGTAAAAGGACTCAGCCATACATATGCATGTATCAAGATCCACTCTCCCCCAAAGCCCCTCCCATCCTGGCTGCCACAGAACATTGAGGAGAGTCCCCTGTTGTACAGGGGGGTCCTTGTTGGTTACCCACTTTAAATACAGCAGTGTGTGATGCTAACATCTTTGCTCTTTGTGCAAAACTAAAACCTCTACAAATACTGAAGTGATGCACAAATGTAGGTGATGAAAGGGAGGGAGACTGAGGAAGGAAAAGCATTGGTCCAGTGGCCAGGGTGGTGAAGTCTTTGCCAAGAGCACTATGAAAGGCAGAGACTGTAGTTGCCAAGTCCTGATCTTGGGCCACAGAAATCAGAGGAAAACAAGACACCAAAGAGAAGGGAGACTGTAAAGGAAAAGAAGGAGGAGGAGGAGAAGGAAGGAAGGAAAGAAGAAAAAAAGAAAGAAAGAGAGATGCATGCAATTAAATTGTCTTAGCTGCTGCAAAGCTGTTTGTCCTAAGGAGAAAGTAAAACGTAAACTG